CACACACACACACACACACACACATACACACAAGCATTTCTGGGAGGACAATGAGAGGGCTATGGTTTCCACCATTGGAGTGTAAATCTGCAGAGGAAGACACTTGGACACAGACATACACAGTGACAGTATGACCCAGGTGACTTTTTAATGGCCATACTTTAGCAGCTCAAAAGGAAAAAACCCTTCAGCCAGCATCTGTGGGAGCTCTGCCACGTGCCAGCCACCAGGCCTGGAAGGCACTGGGAAGTAGGAAACTAAGGCCACACTTTCAGTCAGTTTTGAAACAAAGTGATCAAGAGAGCTAAGGTTGTTTTAGACCACTGAGTGATGACAGACATCTTGGGCACATGGGAAGAGAGGGCATCAGGGTTCCATGTATGTATATTGTGTGACCTTTCTTGCGGGGACAGACAAATGTGTACTCACTCCAGATAGGGAACCAATGACATGCTGAAGTAATGACTCCACCCAAGTTCAATTTGGCAAGCTTATGTGTGGCAGGCTTTCTTGGACCACCAGCCCCCAAATTATGACAGGGAGACTTATTAGTTATGAATGCTTGGTCTCATCTTGTGCTTGTTCCGCTAGCTCTTATAACTTATTCTAACCTGTTTTTCTTCATCTACATTTCGCCTCTGTCTTCTTACATTTCTTTCACTCTGTATGTCTCACTCTGTTTCTGTCTGGCTGTCAGCTGCCTGGCTAGGTGGCCCCAGGCATTTGCCTTTCTTTCTCCCTTGTTCACTCCTTTTCTTCTTTCTCAAACCTCGAGTAAATAGGAGAGGATTCCTCCTCCTATTTACTCTCTCTGCCCCCCCAGCCCCACCTACTCCTCTACAGCCTAACTATTGGCCACTTAGTTTTTTATTAGACCAATAAGGTGCCTTAGGCATGCAAGGTAAAACAGCAACACATCTTTACATAATTAAACAAACACAGCATAAACAAATGTAACACTTGTTTTTGCCTAGTTAAACAAATGCAGCATAAACAAATGTAACACACCTTTGCCTAGTTAAACAAATGCAACATAAACAAATGTAACACACCTTTGCCTAGTTAAACAAATGCAACATAAACAAATGTAACACACCTTTGCCTAGTTAAACAAATGCAACATAAACAAATGTAACACACCTTTGCCTAGTTAAACAAATGCAACATAAACAAATGTAACACACCTTTACATAGCTAAAGTAATGTTTTACAATGCTGATGGGTTTATTGGGGTTACTTACAGGAGCATGGGTGAGGGGCTACTTACAGGAACATGGACCACGCAAAGACAGTTCACCACAGAAGTCCACCATAGTGTAACTGAGGACTCCCCAAAGTTGCATACCTGGAGCTTCCTGTATGTTGAGCTGGACAAATAGGACAAGTCTAAGAGTGTCCTCCAGGTAGGGCTAGGCTAGAGGAGGGGCAGTTCTCCAATGAACTGTTTCAGTGTTTCTATAATTCTGAGGGTTGTGGATCTTGTAAAATTCTGAGCCTGTAGATTTTGCTGAATTTTTCAGATCACTTATGTAAACTATCATATCATCTGCAAATAGTGAAAGTTTGTTTGACTTCTTCTCTTCCAATTTGTATCCCCTTGATCTCCTTTTGTAGTCTTATTGCTCTAGCTAGTACTTCAAGTACATTATTGAAGACATATGGAGAGAGTGGACAGCCTTGTTTTATTCCTGGTTTTAGAGGAATCACATTGAGTTTCTCTCTCCATTAAGTTTGGTGTTGGCTGCTGCTGAGCCTGTAGGTTCTGTTTAGTCTGAGCCTTACGTCTTCCCTGTCTCCCTCTTGGAAGAGTTGTTTCAATTCAGGGGAAATTGCCACATGACAGCGTGACACTCTGTGGCTGGGAGAACCACAGAGCAGCAGAGAATCTGGGGCTCCAGAGGAAGCTCGTGGTGTTGGGAAGGGGAGAAGGTGAAAGGCTAAGGAATGGCAAACACACATCCCGGGTCCCCATTTTCCCAGGCTTGTGTGCTTCTTCCCAAGTGACAGAGATGATTCTGGCTGAAGGCGCACCATCAAAGATGTTGCCACACCGCACAACTTAAATAAGATGTGCCACAACATTATTTATAATTGAGCAATTAAAGGAGTCTTCCCGACCCTCCCCACCAAACTCAGACCCTAAAACTTAGTTCAAAGCTCTGGGAAAGCAGCTGTTTTGGGAACTGTAGAAGAAAAGCAGCTGACCCTGACCCCAGATACCTGGTGGTGACAAAAAGCTACAGAGGACCCTGCAGTTTAAAAACCAGTTCATTGGGCCGGGTGGTGGTGGCACACACCTTTAATCCCAGCACTCGGGAGGCAGAGGCAGGCGGATCTCTGTGGGTTCGAGGCCGGGCTGGACCGACAGCCTCCAAAACAATACAGAGAAACCCTGTCTTGTAAAACCCAAACCAAACCAAAACAAACCAAAACAAACCAAAAAAACCCAGTTCACTGAAGGAAAACAGTTAACTTCCCACTCTGCCCCCAACAACTCTGCTTCCCCTTCTGTATCCTTAGCCACAAACACCTCAGCTTGGAGGAGGCGATCTGTATCCTTTTAAACTCTGGTTTTTGAGTGACTGGGTCCTGTGCCGTGATCACGGCATAGCCAGAAATGGAGCCACCACTCTCTGGCATTAAACAAAGTCTGCTCTAGCTATTTGAGGTCATTTAAATTCTCATCTTTTATTTCTTCCTACAAACTTAATTCTCACATGTCCTTACAGTTTGGTGCTGAAACCCAGGCAGCACTTCTCCAGGCCTCTGTCCTATCCCCTGTGTCTTGTGTCTCATTTTTCTGTCACCTCCAGAGAACCTCTCTGCCCTCTGTGTTTGTTAAGGCTGGGTGGCCGGCGTGCAGCCTGGAGACTTCACTCATCTGCAACCATGGCTTCCAGTCGTTGTATCGGCACATGAATAGAGCAGGCAACACTTAGGAACATAGCTGGATAGCTAGTTCAGTGTCAGGCTACCTTTCTGCTGAATGACATCTCCAAGGAGGCTGATGGACAGGTGTGAGGAGCAACCTGGATTTCACGAAGGCAACCACTCCCAACAGCTAATTCGTGTTTATCAAGAGTGTTGCTGGGACCATCCCAGAGGAGGACTCGGCCTCTCACTGATCTCAGGTATGGTTGGTCACTCTGGTGGCCCTGTGTGACTGGTTCAGGAGGAATTCTTGGGTAGGGAGGGAGGCATAAGTATGGTATGCAACCGCTTCGAGGAAACAAGCTGTTCTGTGTGAGTTGTGGTCCCCTGGTCTGCCCTGGCTAGGGGAGTCAGGTCCAGGGATTTCTGAAGCATGCTTTTACAAGGTTCTCTATGCATCTCCAATAGTAGCTAAGCTTTAACTTTAGCCATGTAGAGACCAGCACTGACTCTGACTTCCTACCAGGCTCTTTCTCTGACCCAGAAAGTTGCCTGTCGTACAAAGAAATTGATTTTTCAATCTGAAATGGAAAAAAAAGAACAACCATTTAATAATTAGTTGTTCAGTTCAACTGTATTTTTTTTGCCTTTAAAATTTTTTTTAATGTGGTAGATTTTTCTTTTCCTGGGCAAATTCTTAGCATTTAATTGCATTTAAAAATTGTGGAGCCTGTCAGAGTAAATTGCAGATAGAATAGTCTTACCCAGGAAAACTAGTCCTGTGATTGTCACCATTGTCAGGCTTCTGAGATAAAGTTGTGGGAAGGACAATTTAAGTCTACACAGTGAGCCACACTTAAATCAGTATTCAGCATGAAGCTTGGCACGGAGAGACAAACATCCAAGCTAGCAGGCAGGATGTTGGAGGAGTTCGACTTTGATTTTTAAAAGATTCTAAAATTTACCCCCAGAAACAGAGGAGACATGCCTGCCCAGCTGTTTTAGTTTTGTTTTTAACTTAAAGTGATTTGATTTAAATCCATATAAATAAATTGTGTGTGGGGGGACCCCAAATAATTGTAAGGCGTTTTAGAAAGTAAGGCACAGGTGATAGTGTTAGTTAAATGTAAAACTGCACCCGGCATACATCTTCATTAGTTTCTGGGCATCACAGAAGATCATTACATGCCACATGTGGCCCTCGCCTTTTCTTTTGCCAGCAGAGAGAGAAAGGGACTGCCTCCAGGGGTTGGGAACAAGATCTTTTATTTATTCACCCTAGGGAACGCTTTCACCCTTTGTTCATCCATTTTTGATAAGCGAGCTTGCATGAATTGATTATCTGGGAAGAAAGCTGAGTGTCGCAGTTCCGGTATCTTATCTGTTGAACCAAATGGGTCTCTGGGGGAGGAGATGGGTGCCTTTTGTTTGGAACCCAGCTCTGGTGCAAGATAAGCCTCATCGAAGGAATGGGAGAGTTTATGGAGGAAGGGAAGCAGCAATTCTATGTTTGAAGTTACTGTTCATTCATCTATAGTATGGCTACCTATTTCTATATGTACACACACACACACACACACACACACACACACACATCATTTTGAGTCAGAATGGATAGGGAACATATCCTTATAGGAAAACACCTACCTGTTCTCATTTGTGCTGCCGTAGAGCAGGTGAGTTACATCACCAGAACCTGGTAATTAGTTGGGCACTCAGTGAAAATCTGAGTCTGGCTTTGTATCTCTTGAGTGTGGCTTCAAGAATGACATGGCCTTAGGTCTCTAGCTTTGTGCCCTGTTGTGAAAGTCACTCTGCCTCTCTGCACCTTGGTTTGGTTTGCGCATGTGCATTAGGGTGGGTGGGTACACCGTCTTCATCATCTTGGTACCCGATAGGGGAAGTAGAAACCCAGAGGAAGCATAGCACACTGCCCAGTACTTGATTAGGTCCCTGGTAATGAAATCAGTCATTAAGGGCAAGACCACATTTACAAAAACAAATTGAAAATAAATAAGGTGCCTGAATATTTGTCTTATCAGCGAGGCATGTTTTTAAAAACCATTTAAGCCTATTATCAAGTAATTGGATTATGCTAATTTTCAAGATTTATTTTTAATTATGTGGATGCTGGTTGGTCTTTGTCAACTCAGATATAAACTGAATCATCTGAGAAGAGGGACCCTCAAGCTAAGGAATTGCCTCTATCAGATGGGCCTGTGGGCAAGTTTGGGGGCAGTTTTCTTGATTAGTGGTTGATGTGTGAGGACCCAGCCTGCAGGGGGTGGGGCCATCCCTGGGCAGGCTGTCCTGGGGCTATAAGAAGGCGGGCTGACCAGGCCATGGAGGAGCGATGCTTGCTCTCCGAGGGCATTTGTCCTGTTGCTCTGCTTCTGTTGTCTGGCAGTTCCTTCTTGAGTTTCTCCCGTGGCTTCCCTGGGTGATGGATTTACTGCGTATTACCTGTAAGTCAAACAAACTGTTTCTTTTCTCAAGTTGTTTTTTGTTAGTGTGTTATCACAGCAACAGGAATTCCACTAGGATTGTGTGTGTGTGTGTGTGTGTGTGTGTGTGTGTGTGTGTGTGGCATAGAGGCCAGAAGAGGGCATCCAAACTGTAACTCCTAGAGCTGGAGTTACAGTTACAGTGGGTGAGACCTGCCTCATGTGGGAGCCGGGAACCCAATGTAGGTCCTCTAAAAGAGCAGTACATGCTCCTAACTGCTGAGCCATCTCTCCAGCCCTTATGTTCATTTGTAATATCTGGTCCTAAGGAGGTTTAAGTGTTTGTTCTGTGTGGAAATTGTCAATTAGTGTGAAGTATTTGTACACACGTTCATGTGTGTGTGTGTGTGTGTGTGTGTGTGTGTGTGTGTGTACATTCACATCTGTGTCTGGCCATTGATACATTTACAAGTTGACTGGTAACACTAGTTGCAGGCTTGATCCAGCCCCATGCCTGCGCTGGGTTGAGGAGGATCTCACACCTTCCTTGAGCTCCTTGCTGTAACGAGTGAGCACAAACATCACTGCTGACATAAAAAGCCCTTGTGGTCCAGTGGGTGCCCCAATATTGGTGCTATGAACTGTGGTCTCTTGACATAGTGGCCTCAGGGGCACAGCTCCCCTCTGCCATTGAAGGTCTGATGGCCCGAAGACTGTCAGGAATGTGGGAGAAAGGCTTTCTTCCTCTTCCTCTGGAAGGAATGGACCACCATAGGCCCAGGCAAACTTGGCAGAAGGCAGAGCTGTGGAAGGAGACATGAGCAAGATGGAAGGGGAGGGACATGGAACCATCGAGGGTCCTAGGCAGAACTGGTTCAGCCTGTGGCCATGGGCAAGCCTGAGAACCTTCTAGAATCTCATCTCCTCTGTTGTGGGAAGATTGTCTTCCTCCCATTTACAAGGCTTATGTGCCTGTTGACTTAATAACACAGTATCCCCAGCAACAGGAAACAGTTGCTTTGTGAAGTGGTTACTTTTATATGCAATTGAGGCAGGGGAACTGACAGAAAGTCTGATGGAAGCCAGTGGTTTGTGAGCTGACCTATTTTGTCTGGAGCAGCAGTATGGGTCTGTGTGGCTGAGTGAGCCATTCTTTATGAGGAGTCACGAAACAAAAAGGCAAACGATGCCGTGAGTTCTCTACTGGCTAAGGGGCCTTGGACCACTCAGGTGGAACCAGGGAAGGGGACATTCTTAGGAATCTAGAGACTAGGGCCGGGCGGTGGTGGCGCATGCCTTTAATCCCAGCACTCGGGAGGCAGAGGCAGGTGGATCTCTGTGAGTTCGAGGCCGGGCTGGACCGATAGCCTCCAAAACAATACAGAGAAATCCTGTCTCATAAAAACCAAAAAAAAAAAAAAAAAAGGAATCCAGAGACTGGGGTTGGAGAGATGACTAGGACAGTGAAGTGCTGGCCATGCAAGCCGAGAACCTGAGTGTCACCTCAGTAACGTGGAAAAAGCCAGGCATGACCTTGCCTGCTGTGTCATCACAATACTGGAGGAGACTTAGAGTCAGGGGCATCCCTGGGATTCCCTGGCCAGCTGCTCTAGGCAGTCTGTTCAGTGACAGACCTGGTCTCAAAACACAAGGTGGAGAGCAACCCGGGAAGATGGATGTTTACCTCAGGTTTTCAAGTGAGCTAACACACACGTGTATCTGTTTTTGCAAACAAGTATGCACGAACACATCAATACATAAAAATGCACACATACAACCGAATTGAACTCCTGGAACCCACTTGCAAAGAGGAGTGGTGACCAAGGGAATTGGGATCAGGCTGGCGAGGCCCACAGGGGCAGCTGATCTAAACAAGGGGCATCACATGGACCCCAGACTGATGATTGGGGGCCAGCATGGGACTGATCCAGACATCCTCCCACCAAACCTGGGTGACAGAGAGGAGGCCTTGGCAATCTGTGGGACCTTGGAGAGTGGAGCAGTATTTATTCCTGGCATACAGAGGGACTCTGGGAGCTCGTGCCACATGGAGTGATGCTCTTTCACCCTGGACACACGGGAAAGAACCTGGACCATTCCGGGGATGATGTGACAGACTCTGGAAATCCCTCGTGGAGGCCCTTGCCCTCCCTGGGAAGTAGAGGGGGGATGGAGTCGGGGTGAGGGGTTGGGGGGATTAGGGGGTGGGGGAGGAGGGGAGGGAGAGGGAACTGACAGTGACATGCATAAAAAGTTAAATAAAAAATATGGAAAAAAGAAAAATGCACACATACAAGAATTAGGAATATTCCCTCCCAATTATGACAATTGAATTAGACCACATTGTAAATATTAGCTTTCAATACCTGAATGGGCCAAAGTTACACACACACACACACACACACACACCCCTAGCTACCATCTTAGGAAGTGAAAAAACGCGCTATTAACTTTTTAAGTCCATAAAGTTGGTTCAACACCGTCTCTAAAAATCTTTTGCAATGTCATACTTTAAGCTAACTTGGCAAAAATGTTTGAGACTGAGTCCACACATTTGAACTGATTTGCTCATTGTTCTTCTTCAGGTATTTAATTTGGGTGCCAGCTAATAAGGGAGAATTGAAAAGTAGTTTTTAATTTTAGTTTTCAGCAAGGCTTGGCATCTGTTGGGCATCTCGGGTACCAAGCCAAAGGGGCTGTCTGGTTCTGCAGGCTCCTGGTTTGGGGGTGAGAGCTACACCCTGAGATGTAAGATACTTTGAGGCGATAAGGAGAGCCTCGTGCATGTGAAAGGGATTCTATGGCAGCAAAAAACTGGACACATCGAGGTACATCCTTCTGCTTCGTGAGCACTCCAGAGCTTTAAAGAGGAATGGCAGGGAAGGGTGTGACGTTGGAGCTACTGAAAGTGGCCCCGTCGCCAAGTGAGGAAGACAGACCAACTGTGTGCAGCAGTGTGTTCTGTTTCTGACACATGTGTATCTCAACACGTGTGGTTTGGGGGTTCAGTGAAGCCACAGGCATGTGACTCCTTGGTAGCTTCTCCCATTCATCTGCATAGAGAGAATCCCAAGAACCCTCAGGGGAGGGGGAGAGGGAGGAGTGATCGGCTTTCAGACTCTGAGTCAGTCCCACGAGGAGCCAGCCGAATCTGTGCTCATTTTGAAGCAGAAGAAACAACATTTCTAGAGAAAAAAAGGGAGAGAGAGAGAGAGAAAAACCCAGCTTTAATCCTGCCCACTGGAGTCCACGGCACAACTTACAGATGGCGATATTCAGATTTTCTTGGTATTTCTCCAGCTAGGGATATGAAATGCATTTGAGAGGAAAGGAAAGAAAAGCTTATGCCCTGGGGGTGGGGAGATATGTGCATCTGAACACTGACAGTCTCCCCCTTGAACACAAGGACAGGGCCACTCTTCTCTCCATTCCCATCGCACGCATCATGAAGCCAGCTGGGGATGTCATTAGAATGTGAACAGCACATGCCACCCCTGGATCTGTGATCTCGCCTCCTGAGTGCTGCAAATACAGGTATACACCACCACCCCTGGTTCATGCAGTACTGGGTCTCGAACCCAGGGCTTTGTGCTTGTTAGACAAACACTCTTATCAATTGCATCTATGATGTCACTCATCCCTTGCATGCTACAAGGAAGATTTGGGGTGCTCAGTGGCATGTAGAGATTTAAGAACCTCACGTCTGACACAGGTCACAGATAAAGCAGATGAAGCTAGAATGGAAGATGGTTGACAGAGAAGTGCCTTGGCAACCATTTTGGATGTGTCAGGGGAGGAGGGATGGGGAGGAGGGATGGGGAGGAGGGATGGGGAGGGGGATGGGGAGGGGGTTGGCGAAGAGTTCACAGCAGTTTTGGAGGACACAGTTCTCTTCATCCTTTCCCTAGGTTCTTAAACACTGAGGAGGAAGAGAGAGAACCCCAGGAGGAACTTCACTAGTTCACTAGTTCATAGGGAAGAGCTTAATTACCTATGCAGGCACTTTAGGAGCATAAAAGTAAGTAGACTAAGGGGCTGGGAGGTGGTTCAGTGGGTAAGAGTTCTTGCTGCTCAAGTATGAGGACCAGGGTTGAAATCGCTAGCCCCCATGTAAAAAGCAGGGTGTGGCCAGCATCTGTAACCCAGTGCAGTGGGAGGAGGTGGAGACAGGAGGATTTCTGGGGTTTGTTGGCTGCCAGCCTCCCTCCAGGTTATGTGAGAAACCCTGTGTCGAAGGAATGAAATGCACAGTGACAGAGCTTGACACCGGGCTACGCTCCTCTGGGCTCAGTAACTGCAAACACTCAGGTACCCGCCCCCACACCCATCATCGTATGTATATGCACACTCAAAGCAAACGAAAGACTGGTCTTTCAGAAGGATTTTTCCTGTGCCCTTCCTCCCCCCATGGCTCTCATAATGAAGCAGTTTGACCAGATAAAAGAATTTGATTGGCACATGATTGATACAAATCCAAAAGAAAAAAAAATAAAGCCAAATTTCCCGGAAGGATATCAGCCCCAGACCCAGACTGCAGGAGTCAGTTTGGAAAAAAAAAATCTCAGTTTTGAGAAGGTGGCAGAATTACATAATTATTCACAACTCTTAAAATGAAAAAAAAGTACCTCTTCCAAATATGAAACTGTGATAACACAGAGCTTTGGTTCTGGACTTGTGGCGAGCAGTCTGGCTTCTCTCTACAGAGAGAGATGTGATGTCGCATCTTGCTGTCACCGTCCGGAACACGTGGTCTTCTGCCTCTCACACTGTGCTTAGCATCCATGCTGCTCTTCCACGGCGCCTGCCTGAGGGAAGCGTGGTGCCGGGTAGGGTACTGAGGGTATAGCTCACTGGAAAAGCAGGTGGTGGTGTCTGTGAAGAGATGCCCCCCCTCCCCCGTGTGTGTGTGTGTGCGTGTGTGTGTGTGTGCGTGTGTGTAGATCAGGAGTCAACCTTCAGTGTCATTCATGAGGTGCTAGCTACCTTGTTTTCTGGAGACAGGCTCTATCATTGATCTGGGTCTCATCTACTAGGCTGGTCCCAGGGACCTGCTTACGCCTTTCTCTCTAGCATTTGGGTTACAGTCATCCCACCATGCCTGGCTGTTTTAGACTGGTTCTGGGGAGTCGATCTCGGGTCCTCATGCTTGCACAAGTGAGCATTTCACCAGCTGAGCCCTCCCCCTGCTCCGCTATCCCTTCCTGCCCACCCCCAGCATCTGTGCATGAAGGGCACACCAGAGCAGCGCTGGATACAGGTGGTCCGGATGAGCGTGGGGGAGGGTTCTGGAACCCTGCATGGCCATCCTGATTGGGTGTGGCTTTGACGACCCTAGACCCTTAGTCACTTCAGCTTTTAAAACTGGATATGAGGGTGTGGCTCAGTGGGACACTCAGAGCCTCCAGTTCCATCCCAAGCACTGTGGGAGAGGGCGACAAAAATGCCAACACTACCCGAGAACAGCCCATAGTTGCTGGCTGGAATGCAGGTGTCATTCACTGGGTCACCCAGAGAGGACTCACCCTGCTTGTGTTAATGACATGTCTCAGGACTGTGACAATGCACCTGGCAAAAGTCACTTTAAGGAAGGAGAGAGGTGTTTGATTTGGCTCATATCTCCTGGGTGCAGGCCATCCCGGAGCAGGAGAGTGAGGCAGCCGGGGTCACATCGCATCTGCAGAGAGAAAAAAACTGGCGCTCAGCTCACGGTGCCCTTTTTGTTCAGCCTGGGTCTCCAGCCCATGACATAGGTGCTGTCCACAGTTAGGGTGGGGCATCCCATTTCAATTAGCCCAGAAGTTCCCTCCTGCACTTGCCCAGGGCCTTGTCTCTTTGAGTCTAGGTCTTGTCAAGGTGACAGTCAATATTAACCATCACCTGCCTCAGCCCCGAATAAGGACCTGGGGACATCGGCGCCGTAGGAGAAAAGCCTGAGACGTCACTGGCTGAGGGGCCTGGTCCCTGGAGTGTGATGGGCATGAGGCCAGAGAGGATGAAGACAAAGGATTCAGGTACATCTAAGGATGTGGACTGTGGAGAATGGGGGAGGCTGAGGCTGTGAGGGCCTTAGAGTACCACCCTGGAGTGTTGGTCCCGACCGGGAACTGTGGTCAGAAGTGAGCTGGCAGAGATGTGGTGGTGGGACCCAAGCCCCTGGGAGGCTCTCAGAGAGTTCAGCAAGGGGCAGGCATGTAGAGGAGAGCTGAGGATAGTCCCAGGCCACAAGGAAGGTTTGAGGGCAAGGATGTCACCAGGCTCCTGAGGTTGGAGCCACAGCTGTCTCTCAGCACCATGCTGGGTGGTTGAAGCATCCTGGAGAAATGTGAAGGAGGTAGTGAGTGAGGTCCGCCCGTGGCAGCACCTTTACACCTGGGGCTGGCGGAAGAGGTCACATGTGTGTAAGTGGGAGATGAGGCCATCTGAGGCTAGCTGGGTAAGTTTCTGAGGGGCGAAAGATTACCCTGGTAACCCACGTAGCCATTGCCAAGGCAGTTAATAGAGACAGCTGCCTCTGTTGGCTTCCTTAACTAACTTTTAAAGTTAGGTGCCTTCACTGAACCCAGATCTCCTCACTTCAGCTCCATCAGCCGGCCAGGGAGCTCCAGGGACCCCCCTGTCTCCTCCTCCTCAGCAAACAGATTACAGGTAGACCCCACACCTGCTTCTTCTGTGGGATAGAACTCAGGTCTTCAGGCTTAACCCATTCCCCCCAACCCTGCCCCGTTTGTAGATATTAGTTAATCAGTACTGTTCCCCCTGCTTTTATAGACCTTTATTAGAAATACTTTCTACCAGTAGTAACTGGTTTGCTTAGAAGCATTTGACCTTGACATTGCCAATGGGATTATTATGAATTTAGTCAGACAAGTGCAGAGATCAATCCAGGTCTATCTGATTTGTGTTCTCCCCACTTTCCTGGTTACTTTAAGGAGTCACCCACAGAAGGAGTCCTCTGCCTGACTTGTACATGACCTGTTTGAGACGTGTTTCAAGGAGTGTGTGTGTGTGTGTGTGTATTATAGATGCATTTACGTGGATGTGTAAACTGTGTGAGTTCCTGCATGCATGTGGGGATTAGAAGTTGATGTTGGATGCTTGCTTTCAAGGACCAATTTTTGGTATTGCATTTCCTGTAGGCCATACTCAAGGACCAATTTTTAACATACCTTGTTGACCACCTACTGTGTGACAAAAATGAATGATAGATAGCTGTGGCCTGTGTTATGCTTTTATTGCTTGATGTGGCAGAAATGACCTTGGGCTGAAATCCTATTTTTAAAAAAAAAAGATACTTTAAGGGGACTGAGGATGAGTATCCAGGGCATTGACACTGGAGAACTGAGAAACTTGACCACACAATGGCGGCTCACACAGCAATAAGCGCCCATCCTCAGTACGGCCTGCCTGTAGAGGGATAATTCGCCCGTGCCACCGTAACTCCGGCAGGGAAGGGGTTAAAGCGGCAAGGCACCGACTTTATTTAGACGGGAGCATTTTTGGCATTTTTTTTTCATGGATTGTGATGTGACAGCTTTTGTTTGCTCACACTTGTCTCTCTTTGAAAATTCTCGTATCAGCAGTAAACGCTATTTCTTTTTCCCATAACATCTTGAGCTTGGTATCCAACGATGGGGGAATTGCTCTTGTGCTACTTGGGATTAGAATATTATTATGTCCAACTTGGGGGGGGATGTGGTTTAGGGCGACTTAGAGCACCAAAGGCCGAAGACTACAGCCAGGTGGTCTGGGTGCTGTCACAGACGTTAGTCACTGGACAGGAAGTCCCAGGGTTCCATACAGATGCTGGCTTTGGGGGATCCTGGGAGGGATGACCAGCGTCTGTGTTTGAGGTGGTGGTCCGTGTCGGTGGATGGAGGCTGGCCAGCGGAGTCTCACTATGGCGAGAAGAAGTGAACACATGGGGAGAGAGCCGAGGCTGTTGCCTCTGGGCCATGTGACGATGTTCGTGTCACGCTGTCCTGCTGTGGTTCTGAAAGTTCCTGAACTGATGCAGAGAACCTTCTCAAAAGGGGAGCATGCTCTGGTCTGGAGTGTTTGTGCACGCTGAAAGGCGTAGGACAGCACTTACGTACTCATTCCCTTCCCTCTTGGAGGTCAGTGCTAGCCTAGGGACAAGCTGGAGTCCAAGGGTGCAGGTTCGACCTCTTATTTTACTACTCTTTTTGTAGGTGTGTGTGTGTGTGTGCGTGCGTGCGTGCGTGTGTGTGTGTGTGTGTGTGTGTGTGTGTGTGTAGACCTGAGGATAAGCTCTGATATGACATCATTCCCCAAGTGCCATCCACCCACCTTCCTGTTTTTCCTTCCTCCTTCTCCTCCCCCTCTTTAAGAACATCTCTCACTGGCCTGAAATTCACCAATTAGCCTAGACTAGCTGGCCAGTGGGCTCCAGTGGTTCACCTGTTTCTGCCTCCCTGGGGCTGAGATCACAAGAGTGTACCAGGGATCAAACGCCGGCTTCATGTTTGCAAGGCAAGCACTCTTTTGACAGAGCTCTGTCCTCCTCCTCCTTTTCTTCCTCCTCTTCCTCCTCCTCCTCTCTTCCTCCTCTCCTTCATCCTCCTCCTCGCCCTCCTCTCCTTCATCATCGTTGTCCTCCTCTCCTTCCTCCTCTCCGTCCTCCTTTCCTTCATCATCGCTGTCCTCATTTCCTCCTCCTTTCCTTCTTCTCCATTGTCGTCATCCTTTTCTTCCTCTCCCTCCTCCTCTCTCTCATCTCTTGTTCCTCCTCTTGTGCTGGAGACAGAGGTCAGGGCCTCCTTATGCTATGCCAGCCCCCCACTGAGCCTCAGCCCCCCCCTGTGGCTCATCATTTTAAAATCAATTTTGGAAAGAAATACTGGGTCTCCAGAAGCTTGTTCGTATGGGTGAGAGCCTGTGGGCTTCCCCGTTTCCCTCACTTTCTCCAGGCTCCTCTGGTCACTTCTGCGCATTAGTCTACTGATTTCGGTAGGCACGTCTGTATAATTTGTATGAGTGGCCGATGGGAAAGCTTCTCCTCTTGCCCAGGCCCACTGTGGTGGTGAGTGAAATGCATCTGCAGTTTTGGGGGCAGCGGGGCCGATCACTGAACCGAGCAGCCCCAACAGGCTGGTATTTCCTAAACCTTCCTGTGTGTATGGTTGAGAGCACAGCGTTACCACTCTAAAGAGGGATGCGGAGGAGCCAAATGCCAGTGGAATTCTGTAATGTGGGCCACAGTGTAAACTGTGGCAGAGTTGAACTGAGGACTGTCTGGAGAAACCTGCAAGCAATTAAGTCCCCTTCCAGCAAGGTAAGCGCGGAGCCCAGCGCCTAGTGCAAGCAGGAGGGAAGCTGTTGGTGGCGACTGTACTTCACTCATTCCTTTAGTTTGTCTTTCTTAATGCCCGGTAAGAATTTTGGCAAGAGAAGCAAACATCTCCTATCTTGTCACTAACCTAAGGAGGGACAGTGACAGACAAGAACAAGGGTAGAGCTAATGCTGGCTCTGTGTTTCAAATCACTGAGGTCAGGAAAATAAGACAACCCCAAAAACAAAACTTAGATTACTTTGCTTCAGCAATTCCCAGACCATACTTTAGGGGAATCTAAGACACTTCTTGGGGGCAAGAGGGAGCCCTCACGGGCCAGTCAGTTTCAGCCACCACGTGAGTCACTTCCCCTCCTCGGGACACTTGCTGCGGACTTGAGTGATTAGAAGAAGGCCATCTCGGTTAGCCCAGCACTTACTAATCATCCTGCGGCCACAGACTCCACCACTGGGAAGCTGCTCACATCTTATGGGAACAGCCACTCTATCCACACTCGAGTGCAGTCACTAGCAGCTAGCATAGTTCTGCCCGCGTCCGTGTCTGCTTTGTGGAGTTCTATCGGCGCCTGTGCTATGGGGAGGGGCTGTGGCGCCTGGTGTACCCAGCTTTCAGGCCTGTCCACACTTGCTGAGGAAATGCTCCCTTTCTGGTCCTCGTCTATCCGAAGAGCCTGGTGTGACAGGGGGAGCGTGCAATTACTGTTTGTTGAAACCTCATTTTCTTGCAGCTCGTTGGAGGGGGCCTGAGGCACAGTTTTGGAACTGATACTGGTGGTGAAGGTTGGAAACAGAAGTTTGAGAGGCAGAGTAGACAATGGAAATAAACACTGGCGGAGCTGGTTGGTTCAATTGCTCTCTCTTCCTGCATTCCATTTCCTCAATGAGAAGCGGGTGCCTTCAGGGGCCTCCTGATCCCTGTCTGCATTTGCAGGAATTACAGCACATGAAAAATGTTTCTTTTGAAAATTAGCAAAAGAAATAATCTGATGGACTAGGGTTCCAAGAAGACACATGTGAAACTAAGGGCGCTGTTGGGTAGGTTGGATGGGGGGTTTAAGGGCTTAGGGCAGTATGTTGCTCTGATGAACTACCCTGACTAAAGGCAAGACTGGCTTTTTCTACCTTAAGTTGCAGGGTGCAGCCAACTGTGGTGATCTATTATTTATGATTTATTAGAGCTTGCCTGGGAATTCAGAAAGCAAAGTCAGCCACAAGCTATAGGGATCAGGCAGTGGTGGTGCACACCTTTAATCCTAGGACTCAGGATTAAGAGGTAGGCAGATCTTTGTGAATCCAAGGCCACCCAGATCTACACAAGATTGATCCAGTCCTAAAGAGACACAGCTCACACAAAGATGACATCAGTACCTGGGATCACACGCCTTTAACCCCAGCACTAGAGGGGTATAAAAGATAGGAGCGGGGTCTTCAGTAGTCAGGATCAGGCGTTCATTCTCCAGCCACACTGAGGATAAGAAGACACTGAAGTCTCAGGATTCTCCAGCCACACTGAGAAGAGGCAGGTTCGAGGTTGGTGGAGCCAGGATTGTCTTTCAGTCCGAGGTAGAGTGAGAGCTAGTGCCCAGCTGCTTTGCTTTTCTGATCTTCAGATTCAAGTTTGAACCCCAATATCAGTCTCTGGGTCTGTTATTTTCCGTGTGACAGCCCACCATGGGGGGGGGTGATGGCAACAGGAACTTGAAAAGGCTGGTCACATTGCATCTGAATTTGGGACATGGAGGGAGACAAATGCTGGTACTCAGCCTCCTTATGTCTCCCTTTCATTCACCCCAGGATCCCATCCTCTGGGATGCTGCTGCCCACAGTTAATGCGGGTCTGCCCACCTCCACTATGATCACCCAGCTCATCCTTCACAGACAGGCCCCGAGGCTTGTCTGCTAGATTCTGTCAAGTTGACAAGTGACATTAACCATCACAGGCAGCAAGTACAAGCTGGGAAGAGCTCAAGGACAAGCCTTCACCTTCATCTGGAGAACCTGGCTGTGCTTTGCAAGGGGACTCTGATCTGTCACCAAGAGGGAGGATGGCAAGACAGTGTGTGGCTGAGCATCATGGGAAGGTGGGCTTTGGAATCTGACAGCTTTGCTGTCTTATACCAGCAGCCCACTTTGGAGTCCTACGACCTTGGATCAGACTGTGTTTTCTTCATCTTTAAAATTAGAAATATTATACTCTCAGATGTTTGTAAACATTTGAAATTTAATAACATCTATTTCCCGAGGTCATTGCAATCTTTGAGGCTCTCTGATGCATGTGTTCACATGCCTTGACACACTGATTAAAAACATGAGGCAAAGTATTGTAAGGATGCAACCCAGATTATTAACATGGGTTGCCTAGGGTCCTTATAGGATGAGACTATTGAAGGTCTTCAGGAAAGGGCCTTTTCCACTTTCTCTCTTATCTTTTGCTCTGGGGTAGCTAGCCCTGTAGGGTGAGGATGCTCTAGCAGTCCCATGGGAAGGTCCATGTGATGAGGTAGAGGATGCCCAGAAAAGGTGGGCTGCCACCGTGAGTGAAGCCATGTGAAACCAGGCTTCCAGGTCTAGCCAGCCTGTAGGTGACAATGACCTCTCCTGGTCTTTTGACTGACACTTTAGGACAGAATCTTCACCCAGGAGCATCCAGCTAAGAGGCCCTGAGATGCCCAACTTTCAGGAGCACTGAGAAAATGCCTGTGTTGTTTTTCAAAGCTACAAAGTTTTGAATTATGTTGGGACATAAAGATGAGTAACTATCAATACAGATTAAAGAGGAGAACAAGCAGACAGAAAAGGAAGTCCATACACCACATATACCACACACACACACACACACACACACACACACACACACACACAGAGACAGAGAGAGAGAGAGAGAGAGAGAGAGAGAGAGAGAGAGAGAGAGAGAGAGAAAAGATAATGCAGTTTGATCTTGATCTTGCTGACTTGCAGGATAGTGTCAATTGTAACTCTGTATAGGACACAGAAAAAACTGGTCCCCTCTGCTTCTCCATTTTGATGGAAGTGATGGGGTTGGGACAGGAGGAGGTGATTACAGTTTCGTAATTTGAGGCTGAAAGTAAGCAAACTTGAAGACATTAAACAATAGAGTGCTTGAAAATGTGAAGAAGTAACTTAAAAACCTTTTGCATGTGGAGACATTCATCAGAGAGACCCTTGGGGGCACCAGTGTGTTTGGTGGCCCCCATGGAGTTGTGTCTCTCATTTGGTGGACCTCCTTGATGCCTTCATTTGGTGGTCTGTTTGATGGTTGGATGAAGCCTTGAAGACTCTGAGATTAAGGATTTTAAATGCAAAGCCTGTCCTGTTAAGTCATAAGAGAGCTAAAAGGCAATTTTAGGGTATATTAGCTAACATGCCTGTTGGTGTTGTGGGGCGGGGAGACCTAATGGGAACCAAACCATCACCACCATTCCAAGGCACTTCTACAACTTTAGTATGACCAGAAAGTTCTTGTGATTTTTCCTGATGACAGAGGTAGATTATTAAGGATACTCCTGACTCTCATCTAAGTTCATGATGGAGGGTGGCATTTTAAACATCTTAGAGAGGCATTGAAAACATAGAATTCACTTTTCCCATTCAAGTTCATGGACCCCACTGCAGAAAAGGCAAATAAGACTAAGTTAGGCTTGCTGCATTTGGGGAATGTTGGTTGCTAACATGAAATCAAAACTTTGTGGGGTTTGGGGCCAAGGAAGGACAGGCTGGGAGATGCTTAGGAAGCAGGTTTGTTGGGGGCAGGGTTGCCGACACAGTCTGGGGACTGGGTAAGGAGATCATCTGTAACCCCCTCCAGCATAGCTCCTCACACTGCCCTTCTGGGCTGTTTTCAATTTTTATAGTTTTTTTTTCTGCTTTCCTTCATGTATTCCCACTTTGCTCACTTGTAGCCTGTCTTGGCATCGCTTCCTGGAACCATTACTCGGAACTGATCTCCGGTCAGCTCTGGCTTTCTAGAGGCTGTCAATCATTTAAATATTTCTAAAATTACAGGATTTGCTTGGGAGCACAAGGACTTGGGCAAATGCACGAACAACACTATCCTTGGATTTGCCTTGCCTTCTTCCAGGACCCCTTTGAGGGACCTCACCACTTATGAAGGGAAACCATGTAATTTACCACTAAATCTAACAAGTTGGAAAGACGTAAAGACCCAGAGCCAACAATCAAGACCCTTCCAACATTTCGTGAGCGTTCTCATAACAAGCCAATCATGCAATCATTTATCAAATATTTACCGAGAATTCTTTTGCATGAGGCTGCTTGCTAGGAGTCGTGGGACAGGGTTTGTTACATATATCCCCTTAGTGGCTGAGTAAAATTCACACAGTGAGTTATAGCCAACATCCGAAAACTAATAGAAAACAAAAGAAAAAGTTAACAACAGAAGCAAATGTTCTGTCTCAAATGCGTGTCTCGGGCCTGCACACATATGTGAGCTAGATCATGGTACATTGTATAATTACTTTTCTTTTGGGCTACAGTCAAACACTGGGACTTTCTCATTGTGAGAAATTTTCAGCACATGGTGAGAGCTTTCCTACTGGGAAAGTAATGGCAAGTGGAGAAGTCACATTAACTGAGTGGGCAGTTGATCTACTGTTGCTGTAGGTCCCATATCCAGATCCAACCAAATGCAGGTTGGACATATCTGAGATAAAGTAGAACTGTTCCGAATACGTTTGGATGTCTCCTGCTGTTGTCATTTCTCAAGAACATGGTGCAGCAACCTCGTGCACAGAGCTCCCACTTTAATCAAGAATCCAAAGTGATTAAGAGGTAGTTCTCACAATGAGAAAGTCCCAGGTGATTGGGTGGGGGGAGCTGAGGGAGGTCAGCCCTGAGGAGCTTTGCAGAAGTCTGAGTGTGGGAGATCAGGACTGACCAGGTGGCCATGGCAAAGATGGAGACGGGAACAGAGGCTGGGGAATTCAATATGGCTGATCTGAGACCTTTCGGCGGGGATGGTGGATATTTTATCCCTGTGTGCTCTGCATTCCTTGTTGCATGGGGGATCCTCAGCTCTGCCCAAGTACTGTGAAACTGACCACATACTCATAAACGATAGAGCATGGTGTGGCTATGTTCTAATAAAGCTTTATTTGCAAAAGCAGGCAGTGGGCAGCATTCCCATACTTGTGGCTTTCAGATCCTTGATTTTAACAGGATGATGTTGGCCACTCCCCACCCGCAAGGTCTCTGCAGATGTTTCTGATTGTCATGACTTAGGGAAGGGAGGCTAGGAATGCTGACTAATGTCCTGTGATACACAGGATGACCTCCACGGTAACAGCCTCGCCCCCACCATGTTAACCGTGCCCTGGCTGAGAATTAGGGCCAGAGCACAGAAGAACCTGTAGCCATGCGAGCATTAGGGACAGAGTGACTCAGGAAATGACCATCTGTGTTTGCCATCACGGAATCACCTTTTCCTTTCTATACAGCACACATGTGGTGTGAAAATAATAAACTCCCTATTAAACTTAGTTTAGTAACTAAAACCGTGAATGGCCCGGCTGGCAGGCTGTAGTAACGTTAAACACATTTCCTTTTACTGTGTGTTTATGGGCGGCCATTTAGGTCTCTCCAGATGGACATGTTGCATCGATTAAGATCACGGCGGCTCATGTGTTCAGGAAACATGAAATGCAACCACGCTGCTCTGAGAACCGCTGTGATTCCCTTCCCCAGTGACCTCAGGGTCCAGCCACGCAGGACCATCCCATTGACGAGACTCTGCTCCCTGCTCCCTTCCAGCACAGGACCACACATCTGCCCATGTCTGCCCTGTGTTTTTTTATCCTCTCTTTGGTTCTATTGTCTCTTACCATAGGGAACTCTACAGGGGATTAGGGGGCAGTTAGCTGAGCTGACTAGTTCTCTTGGGTGAATTTTAAGCTCTATTCATTTCTTTTATTTTCAATTTTTAAAATTTAAATTAGAAACAATCTTATTTTACATATCAATCCCAGTTCCCTCTCCCTCCCATCCTCCCATGCCCCTCACTGTTATCCCCCATCCCATCCCCCTTCCGCTCTCCAGGGAGGGTGAGGCCTTCCATGGGAGATCATCGAAGTCTGTCACATCATTTGGGGCTGGGCCTAGGCGCTCCTCGGCTAGGCTGAGAGAATAATCCTCTATGGGGAATGGTTAAGCCCTATTCATTTCTATTTCATGTCTGAAGAACCTTCAGGAATGTATCATTGGCCATACTAAGTGAGCATGTAGCCACCTCTGTTCAAGTGGGTGTCCTGACAGCCATGCCAGAGTCCTGGTCCCTTCTGCATCTGTATGCTCGCTCCTACAGAGCCCAGCTCACTGACCTGCTTGTCTATCCCTTCATGACATTGGGGAGCAGAGCTGGGGTGTCTTGCCCCCACCTCTCCCTGAATTCTGTCACAGCCTAAAATATTTTTGGAAAGAAAATACTCTGTTTCTCTTACAATATTTTCAAGCTATTTGAAAAATTTACCATGCGAATCAGAGTGTAACTTTTGACATACTATAACATCTGCCTTCAAAAGTACGCATTACATTATAGAATGCAACTTGATGCCTTAATGAGTTGATAACCAATGCCAATACTTTTAGAAATATGTGTTATTTCAGTTTTTAAAATTGTGCAAAATTATGTCATACATATACGTATAAGACAAGGTCTCAACATGTAACTCCACTGGCCTGGAATTCACTATGGACACTGGGCTGGCTTCAAACTCACAGAGGTCCTCCTGCCTCTGTGTCTCTAGTACTAGGATTAAAGACAGGCACCACCATGCCTGGCTCAACACTGATAATCCTGCATACCATTTATCATATATGTTTTAAAAATAAAACTTTTGCCAGGTAGGATGGCTCATGCTTATAATCTCAGCAAGAGACTGAGGCCGGAGGATCACCATGATTAAATTCATGCTGGGTTACAAAGTGAGTCCCAGGCCAGCCTGGGCTATGACCTGAGACCTGTCTCAAACAAAGTAACACAACAGAACTTTGCCTTTTAGGATAACTTTAGATTAATTGAAGACTTTCAACACAGTGGTAGTGTTCCCATATCCTATAGTTTCTTCTGTGATGATGATGACGAAACATTACAGTAACAGGGAACGTTGACCGCAAAGAATACTCCAATAACCAACGCATTACTATACCGAACCCACACCCTGTCCCGACTTCTTTACTTTCCTCTAACTATACTCTCATGTTCCTCATTTAACAAGACAGTGTGTACAGTTTTCCTTACGTTTAACGATCTTGATAGTTTTGAGGGCTGTGTCCTGTCGGGATTCAT